GGCATTTTATTTCCAAAACTCTCAGACGCACATACAAGGAAGGGCACTGTTCAAAGAAAAGCTCGTGGCAGTCAGCCGCTGCCTGGCAGGGTCTGGGCCTCACCACCGTGCTTCCAAGGGGCTCCCTGCCCCAGGTCAGTCTCGGCCCTGTCCAGGCCACCACCCCTCTCCGGCCTGCTTTCAATGGAGCCGGGGGGCTGGCGCTGTGGGGAGGGTGTTGGCCCGCAGTCGCCCTCCTCGTCTGGCCCTGCCCTCGCTGCTGGCTCTGCCGGGCCGGGCCGGGGTATTTGCAGAGGCCCCAGGCGGACGCCCGTCCTCCCGTCTGTCTGCGGTGCGCAGGCAGTGCAGCGCCACTCAAAGGATCTGCTCCGAGCTGGAGGCCGAGATATCGAGCAGCCGCCACGCGGCGTAGGGATTCAGCTCATCCTGGTCCCGGCAGAGCGCCCACACGTAGAGCATGCGCAGCACCTTGTCCTGCAGAGACCGGGTCTTTTAGAGGACGTCATACGAACCCTCTCCAGTAAGCTGGCTCAAAGGCCCTCTGTCAAGTCGGGTCTGCCGCCCCCGCCCCCACCCCCGCCCCACTCACCGGGTCGCCCTCAACCACCTCGCCCTTGGTGTTCTTGACCACCATCACCAGCTGGGCCTGGAAGGTGATGATCAGCACGGGTCCCTGCTCCATCATCTTGCCCATGGCCAGCTGTGGGGGAAGGGCCATTGAGCCCGGCATCAGCAGGGACCTGGCCCTCCTTTTGCCCGCCCTCCCCACCCCACCCGTTTTTTGGTGGTCCTCCAGCACCAGGACAGAGATCCATGAGGGCAGCCGTGGGCAACCCAGGCCCAGATGGCGTCCTGAGGCACCCCACCCCCATTTCTGAATGTGAGATTTCCAAGCACCCCCTTCTGTGGTCAAGACCCCCTGCCCCCAGTCCTCCAGAGGCACTATAAACTTGCTGAGCAGACCCCAAACGGGAATTCTAGCCAGGCAGGACACTTGGGGAACAGAACCCGGAAAGCTAGGTCCTTCTAGGAAAAGGGGCAGTCACCACAATGGGGACCCAGAGGAAACCCCTGTCTAGAAATCTCACATGGTGACTTCAGAAGGGGAGCTAGACGGCCATCGGGTCATTCAGCCCAAGCCCCCAGCTAGCTGAGCCCTTCCAAGGAGGTTATCCCCAATGCACCCCAGACCCCAGCTGGGTCTTATCCACCACCTCCCTGTGTGAGTGATCCTGTACCTCCAAAAGCTGTGTGACTTGCCTCAAAGACCCCCTGGGTCTGGCCCGCTCCACCCACCCCCACTCCCACCAGAGGCACTGACGTCAATATTGTCGATGTCCAGGATGCGGGAGTGGAACTGGAGGCCCAGCGCCTTGGCCTGCTGGATCGGGTGAGCCATCTGGCTGTAGGTCTGCAAGTAGAGGACCCGCCGTGTGGGAATGTGTTTGTGGGGAGGGGGCGCCTACATGCGGGCAGAGATGGCCCTGGGGCAGGCAGCCAGGCCCTGGGGAGGTCCCCCTGGCAGGCAGCTTCCGAACTTAGCTCTGTCAGCCTGGAGGCTGCATGCGCCCGCCAGAAACAGCTCCTGGTGCCAGAGACCCAGGGGCCCAAACCCAACTCACTGCCATCGAGTCAGTTCAGGACCAAAGCGACCCTACAGGACAGGGTAGCAGCGCCTGTTGAGTTTCTGAGATTGTAACTGTTGACGGGAGTAGAAAGCCCTGTCTTCCTCCCAAGGAGCAGCTGGGGGTTTCCAACTGCTATCTTATGGTAAGCAGCCCAACGTGAAACCCACTGCGCCGCCAGGGCTCCCAGAAGAGGCCCGCCTCTCTTTATTAGGAAAACAGCTCGGGGTCCAGACCAAGCCTTGTGTGCAGCCGTCTGGCCCCTGCCGGCATTTCCCCACCAGCCTACCCCCGGTGACTGGCCAGCCCCAGGCTGAGAGAAAAAGGTTCTTGTCACCACATGTGACATGTCACGTGTGTCAGAGCAGACCTGGACCTCAGAGGGCTTGCAATGCCTTTTTCAGAATCAGATTGCCAGGCCTCTCTTCCGAGGCGCCCCCGTGGGCCCAAACTTCCAGCCTTTAAAAACTCACAGCACCCCCAGTGTGCACTGTGGGACGGATGCCCTAACCGCTGAGCGTGGCCTCACGGCACCGGCTCCACCTGCACCAGTGTTGCTGCCCCAGGACCCGGCCCAGGACACGTGGTGCTACAATGTGCTTTCCCTCACAGCCGCGCCAGAACTTGGCAGACAACTGCGTCGGAAGATATTCCAACAGCACAGACTTTTTATGGAAATAACCTCTCTGCTGAGGGAAAAACAAAACCCACAAGGCGCCAATCCTGGTTGCCAGCTTTCTTAAAAAACGCCATTTCAAACCCTTCCCCTCTGGGCGAGTAGGGGCAACTCAGACTGCCTCTCTGGGGTGTCTGGGTGGCAACCTATCTTAAAGGCCCCAAGTCAGAAAATTTGGAAATGCCAGTGGGATTAGTCACCATGCAGGGGAGAGTGTAGGATGGGTCTCTGTGAACCAGGCCCAGGATAGCACCAGCCGCCTGCCTGACTGGCTTTGCACACAGGCTGTCCCCGGGCACGGAGTGAGCGTGGTGAGGTGGTGGCGGCGGCGAGGCCAGGCTGTGGCCCTTGGCCCTACTCAGGCCAAGATGCTCTGCTGGCGTGATGCAGTCCCGTCTGCGCTGTTGTTTCGGGAACCGGTCAGCTAGGCTCATTAATCTGTGTCTACAGCACAGGCTGCCTCTGTGGGGGGTTGACCCTCAGGACTCAAAGTCTGTCCAAGGGAGGGCAGGATCTGGATCGCCACACAGCCCTTCCTCCATCCCCCTCTCTCTCTGGCCCCTTCACTCCCTCCCTGGCCCTCAGTTCCTGCTCTGTATCTCTGTGGGGCACAGACAAGGGCAGGTAGATAAGTACTCCCAACCACAGCCAGCAGGAGACTAGGATTAGGGGCGGGGGGAGAAGTGCCCTGCCTCTCCCTCACAACCGGAAGGTCCTGCAGGTAGCCTAGGATGGCTATGTGGGCAGGACAGTCCAGCTCCACTAGTGAGGGACCCTCCCTCAGGGAGGAGCATACTGTGTGGGCTCCACGAGGCCAGCCATGGGCCCTCAAGTTCCAGCAGGCTCCCTTAGTGGCCAGTCCTCAGGCACAGAAGCAGACAGGGCTGGCCTGTTGGACTGTGCTGACCCCACAGTACTCCCCTGGACCCCCTCCCCAGGACCACCCAGGTGGGCAGAGCTCTGCGAGAGGGTGGAACTTACGGCCTCGTAGCACCAATCTCTGAGGATGTCCAGCTCTCCGCAGATCATGGCCTGAAAAGGGGAGGACAAGGCTCAGTGGGAGATGGACAGGGGTCCAGGCACCTCCTGGGAGAACCTTCTGGGGAGCCCCGCCCATGCTGGCCAGGGGCCAACATGCTCAGCTCTGATTCTCACAGCTGGGGGCCCTGGAGGAGGGAGGGTCTCCACAGGCTGGTGGGAGAGAGGGAGGTGGCCAGTGCTGGGCTCTACCTGTCTGTCTAGGGACTTGGCCACTCCAGGGCAGGATGGTCACACATCCTGGGGAAGGACTAGAGGGCAGCTGAGGGCAGAGTGGCTGCCCTGGGGGCAATGGGATAGCCCCACAGCAGCCGGGAGCCTGGGCTGAATCCTGAGAGAAGGCGGTACCAGGGCCTGTGCAGGGGCTGCAGGCTAGCTGGGACCCTTGGCATGGGCCCTAGCCCTCACTCCAGCAGCGAGCTTGGTTTTGAAGGCTAGGGAGGGGAGGCTGTGAGGCCCAGTCTCCGGCTGGGCCTGGGTCTGGATGACACAGCGAGGAAGCACTTCCTGGTGGCCCCGCCCCCTCGTGGCGCAGCGCCCACCTCCAGCACATTGGGGATGATGTCGGCCTCACACTGCTGCAGGAAGCGGTCCTTGTCAAAGGTGGGGTCCACTCGCAGAATCTCTGTGAGAACCTCGGACATCTCTGTCTTCGAGAAGAGGCCCCCTGGAGGAGCAGATGGGAGGGTGGATTCTGGTCTGGTCCCTCTGGCCCCCACGCCCCCACCCCGTCCACCATGACTGGCTGCATGCTAAGTGGGACGGCTCACTCACCCAGCAGGTCTGTGACTTTGTCGGTGAGCACTCGGGACGCACGGATGAATGCGTTGTCACTCTCATCGTATTTCATCTTCATCTCAAAGAAGCCTGTGGGGGTGGGGCGGAGCAAGGTGGCTCAGGGGCTGGGCAGGGCACCATCCACTTCCACAGGCTGCGGGTGGGGGGCCGGCTTTGCGCTCAACACACAGCACCCAGGGCCTTTCTGAGCCTGGGACAGCATCCTCTGTCCACATCCAGGAGCCTGCCGACCTACCTGGCCAGGGCGCCGTGGCCCCTCAGCAGGGCCTAGAGGGGCTGTGTATATTATGGGGTGCCTGCCACCCTGCTGGCTGGTGTCCCACTACAAAGGAAACAGGCCTCGGTGACCCTCATGGGGCCACGGTCCCGCTGGTACCCACAAGTCCACACCCCATGCGTTGAGGAGCTCCAGCCCAGAGGGGCTGCCCCAGCTGCCCACCCGCTTGCCGGGGGTCTGCTGGCGCTGACCCTGCCCCCGGGACCAGATTCTATTCCGCTGGCGCCCTTACTCTCTGCACTTGCCCTGTAAGGGACATAGTCACGTGGGCCTGGGGAGGGACCTGCTGACCGGGGAAGGAGGCACTGCCCCTCCCTCCCTGCTGCCACGTCCCCAACCTGCACACTCACGGTTAAAGACCACGTTGTTGTCCTTGAAGTCCCTCCACTGCTGGTACCACTTGGAGTCTTTGTGCAGCACCACACCCAGGGCCTCCCTGGGAAGGGGCAGACAGGTGACTGGGGGGCAGTGGCCGGTGGAAGGCGGGGCAGCACCCCCCACACACATTCAAGTGCCTCTCGGCAGAGCAGGGCAGGTAGCCTGAAGGTACGTACTCATTGGGCTCAAACACCTTCTCTGCCTTGAGCTTCTCCCCCGCGAACTCCGTCCTTTTCCGGAGCCGCTCAGGCCGCCGGTAGGACCCCGTCTGGCCGAGGCCGCTTTCGTCCAGCTCCTTCCTCACAGACTCCACGCCCTGCAGGGACGCACGCAGGCAGCCTGGCTCCCAGACCGGCCTCCCAGAGGTTGGGAAGCGCCTCCAGCTAGCCCACACGCGCCTCACCCGCCACCCCCCCAAGTCCAGGCTCTGCATGCCCCATCAGTAGCCACCAGCAAGCCCACCTGAACAAGGGCTGAGGGCCCTGCTTCCCTCTCAACAGCAAATTTGTCCAATAGTCCCCACATGACCTTCTGATTCATCACATCCTCACATCCACTAGCTCATGTGGGCAGCCACCCGAAGGTCATTCTAAGACCTGCCTCAGCTTGATCCTCATCCCCTTCCAGATGTGCCAACAGGCCTCCAATCACCACTCTCTGCTCCTGCAGGCATAGGACCCCTTCGAGCCTGAAGGCCTGCCTCCGCCCCCGCCCCCCCACAACTCCCTGCTGCACCTGAACTAGAAGCCCAGCCAGCTTGCCTTCCCTTGGGCCTGGTCCCACTTCAGGCCACCAAGCTGCATGGTACCTCACAGAGCCTTTGCCCACAGGCCCACCCTCCACTCCTGAAGGCCCAAGAAGCTCAGAGCCCCTCCCACTTGGGCTCTCCCCTGTGGGCCCGTGAGCAGCACAGGCCTGCTGGGGACTGAGCTTCTGTAACCCCAAGTCCCCCAGACCTCCGTAGTTCTCAGGGGAGGGGCAGGGGCTAACTTGCAAAGCTGGGGGTGGGGTATCCAGTGGTCCCTCCCACCAGGTCCCTCAGGGAAGCTGGTCCTCCCAAGGGCTGAGGACCAAGAACCGAGGGAACTTCAACCTCCAGATCTCAAGATGAGCAGGAGACCTGAGCCAGGGATGCTCCTGGGCAGCCTTAGCTCCCCGAGCCCACAGCCCAGCCCCTGCCGCCCGCCAGCACAGGGCTGGGCCAGGCCTGCACTCACCTGTGAGAGAGCCTTGAAGGCTGCGGTCTGGCCCAGCTTCTCGCCGCCCTTGGACACTGACTCAGCCGACTGCTTGGCCGTCTTGGCAGCTTCTTCCACACCCTCCTTGATCTTCCGGCCCAAGTCGCTCTTACTGACCTCATCGAGACTCTACTGAGCCAGAGACAGCACAGGGGAGGGGGTCGGTACAGCCCCTGGAAGCCCAGCACTGAGGCCAGGCCAGCTGCTTCACCAAGCCATCCCAAACAGCTCCTGACGCCTCTGGGTGTTAGAGGGGAACTGCACCCACATTCTAGGAAGCAGATCACTGGGCGTTTCTTCCAAGGTGCCTCTGGGTGGACTGCAAGCTCCACCCTTTTGGTAAGCCAGCTCAGGGCCTGAAGGGTAGTATTTGCCTTCTGGCCCCTCGGTTGGCCACTGGGTGCCTTTGGTTTAGACCCTTATTAAAGGTTATGGGCCAGGTGCTGGGCCGACTGGCCTCTCCACCATATAGGGGGTTGTTGCCAGACCTCTGCACCTGCTCAGCTAAAAAGACTCCGGCAATCTGTGTGGAGTGGGTGGTGGTGAAGGAGGGGCATGGTGGGCTGCAGCTCAGAACCAGAAGGCAGAGCCAAGCACAGCCCAGGCTAGGCCAGTCCACTTGCCTGGAGGCTGCCCCTCCTAGGGCCGACCTGATTCAGCCTCCTGTGGCAGGAGCGTCACACTCAGGCAGCCACCTCGGAGCAGGCTGGCTCCATCTGTCGGCTGCCTCCCCCCGCCAAGGTGCCTTCCTTGCAAGGACCCCATGTGCCCTGGCTGGAGCCGAGCCCAGCCAGCCAGCCACCCTCACCTCCTTCACTGTGCCCGTGATCTCGCCCAGCTTCTTCCTGAGCACCTCGCTGGTCCGGACCGTCTCGGATTCGATGGTTTTCTAGGAACAACACAGGGCTGCTCTGTGCTGCATGTCAGGCATTAGCCCGGGCGCCTCTGCTTGCTGCTCAGTGTGAGGGACCTTCTGGGATGGCACAGCATGGCCTAGGGCGTCCCCTTGCCAGGTAGCTGGGCTTCCCCTGGACACAGGAAGCCCGCTGATGACAGAGGGGTGAACTTGGGCCACCTGCTACTTGTCAGAAGTGTGTTTCCAGGTGTGTGTGGGTGGTGGTGGTGGTGGTGATGATGCTCTCGGCAACCCCCACCCCCTTGGTCTCTGGCCCATCCATTTTTGGCTGATTGCAGCGAGCAGGGGAATGGGCTTCCCGTGACATCGCCGAGGGCCCCGTGCATCCTCAGTAACCACTTTTGAGTGAGATGGGCTGCAGGTCCTATGCAGATGAGCAAGGACCCATGAGGGAGGGGTGGGGCTGAGAGGGTCAGGCCCTTCCCAAGACCAATTCTCCGCCCCCCCACCCCACCCCCAGCCTCGAGGCAAGAAAGTTCTCCATGTGACAGTTGCCACTAGGGCCCCTCTGTTAGAACAGCACCAGGAAGCAAGGACCCTGGGTTAACCAGCTTCCTGGAGAAAGGAGGTCGTCTTCTACCAGGGACCCAAGTGGTGGGCAAACTCCACCCCCACACCCCTGCAATTAGCTTAGCTAAGTGGCAGAGATGCCCACAGGGCTGGCTCGGGGCTGGGCTCTGTGGCTGATGACCTGAGGTGGGGTGGGGACACTGCAGTTGCCTCAGTGGGTCCTTACCCAAGGTCCAACTAATGGCCACAGCACTGACCGTGGCTGGAGCTTAGCAGGTGCCCAGCAAGAAAACATGGCAGCGATGGACCCTCTGCCCCAGCCCCACAGGCCCTCACCCTTGCTCAGAGCCCCAGTAGGGAAACTCTTGGGAAGAGCCTGGTTCAAACCAGTATGCAGTGCATCCTCTCCGGGACCTGTGGAGATGCTTCTTCCGACATTCTGTCCCACGTTTCCCTTTTGATGGAGAGGCTGCTACAGAACCCTCTATCTAACTGCTCAGCAGTGGGAGCTGGGCACCACCTAGTTCTTTTGGTCTCATGGGAAAGGAGGGAGTTGTTTGTAGAGGTGACTGGACACACTCCCCTTCCTCCTCTGCTTCCTGCCTCTTCTTCCTCAGTGCTGCCAGCAAGTGGACGCCGACTGGTGTGCCCTGGAAGGCTGCTCATGAGTGTTTAGACCCCACTGAACTAGGAGGTAGACCCCCAAACTCCATCAACCGATGTGATGGAGAACTGCCCCAGGGTGTCTGAAGCGGTCATCTTTAACAAAGCCCACGGCCACACCTTTCTCCCTCAGAGCAGCCGTTGGCCTCACCTGACCATCTTTTGATTCACAGTCAAACACTTAACCATAAAGCATGAGGCCTCTTCCAAATTCCATTTGCAAATTCTCATGAGACCTGACTGTGTTAGTAGGGCCCAAATGAGCCCTACAAACTAATACCCTGAGCACATCTTTAAACCTGAAACAGAAATGAACACTAGGTCACCTTGGAAGGATATGGTTGAACCCAAAGCTTCTTCCACTGTAACGGAATGTCAGGGGTCACCAAAAACGTGGCAACAGTAAAAGGTCTCTGAACACACAACGCCCAAGAGTTCATTCACAATCGAACGGGTCTGAAATCAGGGGTGTTTCTGGCAGGGCTTGCTGGTGCTGCACATTCCTCGGGCAAAAGGGGTCGGGAATGGCGCGAGTTTCAGAAGCCCTGGTTGAGGCCAACCCGAGAAGACTGCCTGTCTGAGCAGGCTGCTCCTCTGGGAAGGAAGGAACAATGATCTGCCAGGAGGACGACGAGGAGATACAAGGGACGCGGTTGTCGAGAAAGACTGCGCAGCTTGGGAAAGGTCACCTGTGGCCCTGAGTTGTCCGGGTAGAGACTGTGAGTGGTGGATGTTTTCACGTGGGTATGTTCACCGGCCCCTCCCCACGACCCGCCTCTTCATCACCAAATGAATGAATGAATGAATGAATGAATGAATGAATGGAGAAAGAAAGGGGGCAGGCTCTGAAGCACATGGTCAGGAAGGACCTGAGACCCTGCATTTCACAGCAAGTCCTACATGAAGCCTGGGCTGCTGGCCAGTCTCCCAGTGGACCCGGGAGTGTGGGTGAGCCACTCCTGCCCCTCGGTGCCGTGGGTTCACCCTGTCTAGAGCTGGGCTGGCTAGCTGCGCACCAGGGAAATGCTGGCACGGAGCTGAGGAGGCACTCACGTATTTCCTTCGGGCTTCCTGGAGCGCATCTGACTCTTCCAGCTTCTTGGCCTCGTCACGGAATTTTTTAATACTTTCTTTCATTTCTTTGTTTTTGGCTAACTCCTGTTTGATGTTATCCATCAAGCCAGACAGGAAGCCCTTTCTGTTGCCAGAAGAATAGGATTTGGACTAGAAAAGAACGTGAAAGAGGAACGTTAAGGGAAGCTACGTATAGGCATCAAAGAACAAAAAATCATATCATTGTGAATGAGGGGGAGTGCAGAGTGGGGACCCAAAGCCAATCTGTGGCAACTGAACATCCCCTTACAGAAGGGGTCTCAGGGAAGAGACGAGCCAGTTAGGGTGCAGTGTAGCAATGATGAAACATGCAACTTCCCTCTAGTTCTTAAATGCTCCCCCGCCCATCATGATTCCAATTCTATCTTACAAATCTGGCTAGATCAGAGGATGTACACTGGTAGATAGGAACTGGAAACACAGGGAATCCAGGACAGATGAACCCCTCAGGACCAGTGGTGAGAGTGGCGATACCGGGGGGGGAGGGTGGAGGGAAGGTGGGGTAGAAAGGGGAAACCGATTACAACAATCTACATATAACCCCCTCCCTGGGGAATGGACAACAGAAATGTGGGTGAAGGGAGACGTCAGACAGTGTAAGACATGACAAAAAAATAATAGTTTATAAATTATCAAGGGTTCATGAGGGAAGGGGAGCAGGGAAGGAGGGGAAAAGTGAGGAGCTGATACTAAGGGCTCAAGTAGAAAGCAAATGTTTTGAGAATGATGATGGCAACAAATGTACAAATGTGCTTGACACAATGGATGGATGGATTGTGTTGAGTTATATGAGTCCCCAATAAAATGATTTTAAAAAAAGATTAGACCAGTAGATGGCTGTCTAATGCCTGATTTATGAAAGGAGAAAATAGAGCTAATACTTTTGTGACTTCTGGTGAACAGATTTGATTTGATTGCACCAATGACAAGAGTAAGCTTCATGCAGACTTGCTGAGCAAGAGAGACGCCACAAAGGGCAGAGGTGGAAATGTCTGCTCAGGACCGGTTGAGTGCAGGGAGTGATGGCCTCACCCTCTTCCCCTGGCAATGCGTTAACTGCCAACGGCTTGCGCTCGGGTGAACCTGAGCAAACGGCCAGAGACGGAGTGACACCCCTGAGCTCCTTCTCTCACAGCAGAATGCTAAGGACAAGGAGCAGGTGCAGCTCAGGCCACAAGAGGGGGACCCTGATGGGAGGAGACAAACGTGAAACAGGACCTCACATTCTGGATGGGGAGGGGGGGTCAACTCAACAACAGACTTAGTGGGTCGGAGACTCCCCCAAGACAGCAGGCCTGAAGGGAAGCTGCCCGCTGAGGCCCCCTGGTAAGTGAACAAGAGACTGGCTCACAAACTAGAGGCTGTCGCTCCCGAGCACTGGGCTCCTTCAAAAACCACAGGACAGACCACCTGGCCAGCAGGGACTTTCACAGAGAAGGGAAGGAGAGGGGACGCGAGGCATGGAAACGCAGGATTCCAGAGAAGGTCCCCGTGTGGTGACAGAACTAACCAATGTCAGGGAACACTTGTGCTTAGATTACTGGGGGGCGGGGGTGGGAGAGTGAAAGCAGCTTGGAATCCTCATGGGATTTCAGGCCTTGGTCCCAGAACAGGGGTTGGAAAGATTCTGGGCCTCTGAATCCCCAGGTTGCCACCCAGGGTGACTCCCTCGGAACCCAGGGCTGCAATCTAAGGCTGCGAAAACATGCTCCCCGCTCCACTCAGAAAACTGTCCTTTGGGGCCACTCCAGGTACCCGAGCACCAACTTGCCCAAGCCAAGGGCCTGGAGATGGACACGGGCCTCCCTCTGTGGGCCCACAGACGGAGTCACAGGGAACCCAGGCACAGCTTCCCACTTCTGGGAGACCCCAGCCTCTGCCAGGGGCTCTAGGTCAGCAGTGCCATCTCCACACCGCTGCCTTTCCACACGTGTGTGTGACCGAGAGTGGCTTCAGAAGATGAGAAGCTGCAATGACGAGGACCATCAGAGTCACGTCATGGTATGTCCCCAGCCACAGCAGTTGGGGTCACTTCGCCAGTGCCAGCAGCTACGGACTCCTGGCGTTCATTAAGCCATTAAGAGCCGAGCTGGGCTGCCACAAGGCTCCAAGCAGTTCAAACAGGTAGGGTTAATTGTCAGCAGGGGCCGTGTGCCCACTGCACAGCAACCCAATCTGCTGCTGGGGGTATTTTGCTCTGAATAGGACACAAACAGCGCCGCCCGGCTGAAAGGTGGCAGCCACCTGAGGGGCCGTGAATGTCCTGCTGGTAACCCAGTCTCCCGAGTCAGGCTCGCAAACAGTCAGGCAGGACTGTAGGAGAGGGACATGATGAGGGTGAGGAGTGGCTAACGCTGTCCCACAAGAACTGGTGGACAGCTTCCCAAGCATGCTCGGCTCATACCCAAAGGCCGGGCTGCGCACGCCTGCCCTGTCCCTATACTCTCCTGCCAAAAAAGTCTTTCCTTTCAGATCTCCCGACCTGTCGGCCTGCACCACTCACCAGGGCCAGCGCTCCACCTGGCCGGCGGATCTGATAGCTGGATCCGTGAGGCAGGGGCACTAGGTTGTGGCTGGGAAGAAACTGGACTCCATTTCCTAGGCATCTCTGCTGAGAGGAAATAAGTTCCATTAAAACAAGGTGAGCGGGAGGTGAGTCTGCCACGCGGAAAAGCGGGGGTTGCCTGCCACCCATAAGCCCACAGCTACCAGATGTCTGCTACACGTCAAACACCCTTCAATTTCCCCACGGTCTGCAAATGGGGGACTCTAAAAACAATGCATCTAGAAGTGCCAACCTATAGGGGAAGCAGCCTAGATAGGGTGTCCGAGTGAGTTACCATCAAGTTGGCTATCACGCCTGGTGATCCACGTACAAGATAAGATGGTCCCTGGCCCTGCACCACCTTCAAGATCTTAGCTAGGCTGCAGTCTGCTATCGCAGCTACTGTGTATTTTGAGTGCCTCGCAACCTGGCGTGGAGCCCTGGTGGCACTGTGGGTTAAACATTAGGCTGCTTACTCAAAGGCCGGCAGTCCTAAAACACCAGCGACTGCACGGGACCACGCAGTCTATCAGTAAAGATTTACAGCCTTCTCCCGTACAGTCAGTCTCGGAACCCCACGGGGATAGTTCTAACCTGTCCTGCAGTGTTCCTTATGGGTAGGCATCAACTCGATGGCAGCGAGTTTGGGTTTTTGGTTTTTTTAAAAAGTCATTTTACTGGGGGCTCATACAACTCATCACAATCCATACATACATCAATTGTATAAAGCACATCTGTACATTTGTCGCCCTGCGAGCTTGGGTTTTTTTGCGTTTTCTATTATTATTCTTTGTCTTCTTTTTAGCTGCCGCTGAGTCTGTTCCAACTACGTGACCCAATGTACAACGGAACAAACCACTCTCTTACTGGAGCTCTACTTTACCTAGCATGACGGCCTGCTCCAGGGACGGCCGCCTGGAGTAACATGTGCAACGTGTGCGAGACCAAGTCTCACCGTCTTTTCTTCTAAGGAGCATGCTGGCTGGACTTCCTGCAAGACAGATTTGTCTGTTCTTCTAAAAGCCCTTGGTACATTTGACCGTCTTTGCCAAGCACGCCAATGCTTTACATTGCTTTTGCTTCGTCCAATGTTCAAATGCGTACGCAGTGACTGGAAATCATCTTTTAAAGGGGGGCTTGTGCACATCGGCTCAGTGCAACAATTCTGTTGCGTGAGTTCCTGACCGCTGCTTCCATGGGTGCGGATCCTGGATCCAAGTAAAATGAAATCCTTAAGAACACCAATCTTTCCCTCCCTTATTATGATGATGTTTATTGGTTCAGTTGTGAGAATTTGGTTCATTTGCATTGAGATGTCATCCACACTGAAGGAGGCATTCTTTGATCTTCTTCAGCACATCCTCCCTGTCAGCCAGCAAGGTGTGCCAAGCCTGCAGATTGCCAAGTTAATGAGCCTCCCTCAAGTCCTGATGCCGCTTACTTCTTCATACGGTCCAGTTTCTTCAGCATATGGGTTGAATAAGTATGGTGAAAAGATACAGCCCACACCTGTCCTGATTTTAAACCATACAGTCTTTCCTTGTTCTGCTCAGGTGGCTACCTCTTAGCCTCTACACAGGTTTCACATGTGGACAATGATGAGTTCTGGAATTCCCATTCTTCACCTTGTCCAGTTTGTTATAATCACACAGGCAAATACCTTTGCAATAGTCAATAAAACACAGGTAAGTCTTTCTGCCATGCTCTGCTTTAAGACAAGACCCCATCAGACATCAGCCATGATGTCTCCCATTCCCCTCCTCTTCTGAATCCGGCTTAAATTTCTGGCAGTTCCCTGTAAATGTACTACTGCAAACATGTTCGAATTATCTTCAGCAAAATTTTACTTGCATGTGACATTAATACTATTATTCAAGAATTTCCACAGTTAGGGTCCCTCGCTTTGAAATGGGCACGGAATCTCTTCCAGTCAAGGCAGCCAGGCAGCCGTGCTCCAAATAGACAAGCGCTTTCAGCGCTGCGCTGGCTTGTTGAAGCCTCCCAATGGCTCTTCTACCCAGCTCTGGAGCCTTGTTTGTCATCACTGCCTTCTGTGTAACTTAGATTTCTCCCTTCAATACGTTCTTAGTCTTATGCTGCCTCCTGCAATGGCCGAGTGCTCATTTTTCAGACAGTGACTGTGTATTCCTTCCACCTTCTTTAAAAAAATATTGATAGGTAAAATTTTTATTTTAATTAACATCAATTTGATTATTGGTAAAATTACATTTTTATGTTTATTTTTTTAACAAAAAAAAACACTTTTATTGGGGGCTCTTATCTCTTATCACAACCCATACAACTCCAATGTATCAAGCACATTTGCAATCATCATTTTCAAAGCATTCTCTTCCCACTTGAGCCCCTGATAATTTTTTCCATATCTTACATCGTCCTCCATCGCCCCTCACACACTTTTCCTTTATTTGTCCCCCTGGAAGGATCCCTGTGATTGATTCTCCCTTTCTCCGCCCACCCTCCCCTAATCCTCCTGGTATCTCTACTCTCCTTGTTGGCCCTGAGGGCTTTGTCTATCCTGGAGTCCCTGTGTTGCAGGCTCTTACCTAGAGCAGTGTGCGTGCTCTGGTCTAATCCGATTTGTAAGGTAGAATTGAGGTCATGATAGTGGGGTGAAGGAAGCACCAAAGAGCTACAGGAAAGTGGTGTGTTTCATCAGTGCTATACTGCACCCTGACTGGCTCATCTCCTTCCACCTTCCTTCGACACTTGCTGCCCACAATGCCATTACTATTGTAACTCGAGGCTTGATTTTTATTCCTTTTGTGCTGAAGAAATGCTCCACTCTATCGGGTTTGGTTTCCTAATCCCAGGGCTTTGCATATTTTGTACAATATTTTCTTTCTTGAGCTGTCCACGTAAATGATCTGTTCGGCTCGTCCTAATTTCTCCTACTCGCTTTAACTACTCTATGTTCAAGAGCAAATTTATGCCTCTTCTGACGTCACTTTGGTCTTTCCATTTCTGACCTCACTTGTCTTTTTTATGCATTTTGTTTTCACGTATGATGTTCTTGATAGGTCCCACAACTCAATTGGCCTTTAGTCATTAGTCGTCACTATGTCAAATCTGTTCTTGTGGTAGTCTCTAAATTCAATTGGGATAGGCTCAAGGTTGTATTTTGTTTCTCGTCTAATTGGTTCGATTTTCTTCAGCTTCAACCAGAACTTGCATATGAGCATGGTTTGCTGACGTTCCATAGTCAACCCATGGCCTTGTTTTGGCTGATCTTCTCTATTGTCTTTTCACAGAAGTAGCCAATTTGCTATGTGTATTTTACTTGTAGAAAGGGGGATGTGTGCGATGCATGTCTTGGTCTTAAAAAAATTCAACCATGCAATCTCTAATGTCATTTCTATCGCCAAGGCTCTACATTCCAATTACTGATTCTTTTTCATGGTTCCCAACATCTGCATTCTAAACACGGACAGCTACAAGTCCATCTTGATTGCCTGTCTGATGTGTTTCTGACTGGAGGAGTTAGAAATGTTCAATTTCTTCACCATGGGCTTTAGTGGTTGGTGTGTAATTTGCAAACAGTTATACTAACTGATCTTTCTGGTAGGCATACAAATTAAGATATGCAGTATCTCACAGGCAGCATCGTATTTCAGGACAGTATCAACACACTCTTTTTGATGATGAATTTGTCATTCCCTGCAGTGTCAGATTTTAAATGGGCAACCAGTCCATTTCCACTCCCTAATGCCTAGGAAATCTATCTTTACTGTGTCCTACTTCATTTTTAATGACTTCCAATTTTCCTGGATTCATACTTCATACACTTCATATTCTGATTATTAATGAGTAGTTCCAGCAGTTTCTTCCATTTTTAAGTTGTGCCATATCAGCAAACGAAAGTCCCCAAACCTTTGCCCAGTTCGCCTGATAAAGATCGGCTCTACTTTGAGGAGGTAGCTCTTCCCCAGACTACTGTGAGTACCTTCCAACCCAAGGGGCCCATCTTCCTGCACGAAACCAATGTCCTGCACTGTTCATACGGCTTCTAGGGGCTAACTTCTCAAACGTGAGCTGTCTATTCCTTCTCAGTTTGCCTTAGTTGGGAACGCGGCTGGAACGTGCCCCCATGCGTGACCCTGCAGATATCTGAACTACTGGTAGCACAGCTTCCGGTGTCCTCGAAACACACAAGTCACTATAAACTGACAGACGGGGGACGGAGTTTTAATATGTCGGCACTTGGTAGCTGAGAGGTCAGCAATTTAAACCCACCAGGAGCTCAAAGGGAGAACAGAGCAGTCTACGCCCATAAAGACAGCAGCCTATGAGGCACGTCTATTTTGTTCAACAAGGTCATTATGAATCAGAATCAACTTGACAGCAATGGACCTGGTTTTCATTTTAATCCTAGAGTGGGGGGACGGAAAAAAAAAAAGACACTGAGCCTCTTCTTCCTCGGTGGTGGATTTCGGGAGCAAACACTGCATACAGTGTCCTAGGCACAGCACTGGAAGAAACCTGCAGTGCCTTGGGTGAGCATTCCTTCTACCTCCTGATGAACTCCAGCTCTGTGACGGAAGGACGGGTAGGTCCTGCTTGATGCTGGGCCCTGCTACCCAGCCCAAAGTCTCCACCCACCCAGCCCAACGTCAAATGACCTCACAGAATGACACTCCCATCTGCACATTTGGTGGTCAATGGTTTAAGTGCTTAGCTGCTACCCAGTGGCTCTGTGGGAAACTTGGTGATGTGTGCTCATAAAGACTGTCATCCTAAGGAGTTGAGTTAGTTCCAAGTCACAGCTACCTTATCTACTACAGAATGAAACCATGCCAGGTCCTGTGCCATCCTCACAATCACTGCTAAGCAACAGCCACTGTGCCAATCCATCTCACTGAGCAGCGTCTTCTCTTTCACTGACCCACTAGTCGATCATAGGAAACCCCACAAGGTAGTTCTACTGTCACAAGTGGTAGTTACGAGTTGGTACTGATAGGAAGGGGCCTAACAACAGTCCCTTCCCCCACGTTTCTTACTGCCCAGCTCTGAGAATCCCAAGGAATGTGCCAAACCATAATCCCCTGGACTACTTGAGAGTCATTCTTGGGAACTCAAATACAGAACTTGACAGGCCTGCCTTGTTCTTCTGGCTCTTGCAAGTTCTTTGCCTCTGTCAGGGTGCAATCTTACCCTTTCTCTATTGCTTGTATTGCTGAAAAATATTTCAGCTTTCCTTCTCTGACAAGTTTTCACCTTACCCAGCTTCCAGCTTTCGCAGGTCTTACTCTGATTTGTTTTAGTTCTTAAGACATCTATATCCAATAGGCCGCAGGGCCACTGACTTTGGTCTCAGGCCAACATCTAAGGGGATAGTTGCCTAATCTTTCTTTCTTTTTTTTTTTAGCTGTATAAATACGCTTTAATGAGCCCCTTAAATAGTATTGTCACTACAAAAACACACGGAGGAGGCAGGGTGCCTCCCACATCCACCCCATTCTCGTGGAAAACTGTAAGAAGTATTCATTAGAATTACACAGCAAGAAAGGAATACATGAGGTTGCTAAGTCATCTCCTTGGGATGAGACTAGTATCTCAGTTCTCTGCAATTTAACAGCTAGAGAATCCAGAACAGGTGATAATGCCTGAAGAAAGTGGAGCTCACAGGAAACAGACATCACCAGGTACCCAGATAAGCGAGACAAGAATTGGGAGGTTTTGCACCACCCACCTACAATAGAAACTCAAGTCAACTGAGGGAGCTTGTAAGGGTCGGTGTGTGGAAGCTGAAGCAGCAAAACCAGATAAGAAAAACAAGGATTAGAGAGACCTTTTCTCCCTCAGCCCAGGCCAGCCCGTGCCCTGCCAGTGAGAATGCGAGCCTTTTCAGCAGGGTTGGGAGAGAATGGTATTTGGGTCTCTTTGATCGAAGTGGTCCTCAGGCGATTGTCCTGGGGCCCATTTCCTTAATAGCTCCTGAAGGCAGGATAGTTCATCTTGGAGTCCAGAGGTTGTGGGAGCCAACAGGCCCATCTGGACCTCGGGCCTTCCCCTCAGATAGCAGCGTTTCCAGAGCTTAACCTGGGGTCCCAGGTATCCAGGTAGCAATAGCCCTGGAGGTAAAGGGCAAGCCCCCCAGTGTGAGGGGAGCCCTCATTCTTGGTCAGCCAAGCTTTCAGTGGAGACAGCAGGCCGGGGAAGCCAGCAAGAAGAGACTGCCAGCAGGGAGGGGCTGTCCTGCCAAGAGCTGATTCAGGGGAGTCAGGGTCCCAACAGAGAAGAGCCGCACAGATCTGGGAGGTCCTGGAAGTTGCCAAATCTTGGTGACAAATCTTAGGCTGGTTCCCTCTAGGCTTTGGATGTTCAACCTCTAATGCCTGAATCAAAAGACATGCAGCCAAGAGAAAACGAAAACAACCCCGCTAAGCCAAAGGCACAGCCTTCCTCCACCCTTGGATGCTTAAGAGCTTTACTAGAGTCAGACTGACCTGGGCAGACACCTTGTTAGCTCTGGGCCTATGGGCAGGTTGCTCAACCTGTGTGGATTTCTAATTTCCTAGTCTTGCGACAAACCTCCATCAGCATCAGGAGGAGCTCTCCACGCCCCGCTCCAATGGCGCACTCTTGAACCCCAGCTCTTGGTTCCGGGGGGAACCCCCTCACACCCCAACTCCACGTGAGGGATCCCAGAGGCCAGGCAGGAAATGGCCTCGGTAGAGGACCTGGTAGATAAAATTGTCACTTTGCCTTCTCCTTGCTACTTGTTCTCAACTGGCCGCCGTCACCCCAAGTACACGCGGCTGAGCAGCAGGGGAGGAGAGAGCTGCTCCCCGCCGGGCTGCACCTCTCGCACCCCCGACCCGGAGCGTTCGCCTCTGCTCTCAGGCCTCGTTCTGGAGCCCCCAACGGCGGACTCGACTGACCCAGCCTCTCTCCCGAGCCCAAGGAAGGGCAGCGCGGGCCAACGACCTGAGGAGACGGAGGTCGTGGAGTCCGCGGACCTGGAGCCCCCGCCGCGCCCGCCCCGCCTACCCACACGCCCGCTCACCCGCGGGCACCGGCACCAGCCTCCCCGCAGCGCCGCGGCCGCCATGTTGGACGAACCCGTGTGACCTTCCCTCGGCGCGGCCCGATGGCGTCATCTGTGACGCCCGCCAGGCAGGCCCTCAGAGAAGGAAAAGCTTCTGATTGGACCTAACTCCCCAGAGGGTTAGTGCCTGGAAGAGGGAGGTCTGTGATAGGACGGGACGGAGGAGGCGTGCCCAGCGAGGCTAGCTAGCGGGCGGGGCATTGCGAGAAGGGTTTCCGGAAGAACGGGGCCTGTGACTGGATGTGGCCTCGGAGGGCGGGCCCTCCTGTGAGGCGGAGACCTACGGTTGGGCGAGGCGATCCGAGGGCGTGGCTTGGGGGCGTGGCTTTAATCCGGAGCGGCGACTCAGCAGCCAGTTGCCCAGGGAGTTGGACGGGCAACCGGACAGTCCAACAGGACAGACTCAGCTGAGTGTGACTGACCGACGGGCGTACCTGCTCGGCCGAGACCGACTCTAGCTCTCAAGGGCAGTGCCTGAGAGTAACCAAGTGAGCAACTAGTGACCCTGAGAGGGCTGTGACTGACCGACGATGCCGAACAGAAGAGCCGAGGGACCGACTCCGTGACCTCTGATTCGTCTGCGATGACTGACACCGAGGCGTCCTTGGGACCCACACTGAAGCCGGGGCCGCCTGCTGCGGGGACCTTCCCGTCGCCTCAGGCCGTGGGCCCCTAGGAGAGGACAGGAACGGCGGACGCGCCTGTTCCCGTCGGTCCTGACCTGCAGCTCTCTGCACGGCGTCCATGGCCGCGGCGAGAGGAAGACCCGACTCCGGAGTCCCCACACACATTTCATAGACGTCATTTCGGTGTCACAAGGAGCGTCCTGCCTGACAAGCAGACTGTGGGTCCCAGTCGCCCAGGACTGGCTGACTGGGAACTGATCCCATGGCTGACTCGAAGGTCACTGACTAGACCAGCGGTTCTCAACCTTCCTTTAATACAGTCCCCCACGCCCCATAAAATTATTTTCGTTGATACTCCATCACTGTAATTTTGCTACTGGGATGAATTGGGCGACCCTGTGAAAGGGTCATTTGACCCCCAAAGGGGTCGGGACCCACAGGTTGAGAACTGCTGGACTAGCCGGACTGACTAGGGCTAACTAGACCGCCTATGACTGACGGACTCTCATCTTCTAGGGGCTTTGACTTTGTCGTCCAGGACTGACTGACTGAAAGGGAGTTGATCCTGACCAACACCTATGATGGTCCCTCAGCCACTAACTAGTCCAATTGACTTGACTGGCTGGCATCTGACCTGCAAGATTGACAATAGTTGTCAAGCTGACTGACTCACTGAGATTCTGATGAGACTGACTGACAAAGTAGAGGGATAGTGACTGCCATGCTGACTGAGCTGACTGAACATCTGATCTACCAACTACAAAAATGTAAAACATTTTTATGATTTGTTACATTTATTCATAAATGCATTGAGAATTCTTTATATGTACAATGTATGTTTATGTACCTCGCATAGCCACATGAGTCCATATGGCACAACACAATTAACTATGTACATTTTTTATCATTACCTCAGTTTACTCTGATGGCTTGCACTGAATGGAATGATCAAGGGATGCATAGTCCGGACAGTCGCTGCTGACAGCCAGCCTCAAGCACACTTCCAAATGATCATCAGTCATGTGGAACGGTACTTGGACTTAATGATGTTTATGTGGGAAAAGGCTGACGCACATAGAGCCGAATAATGCAGTCAAGGAGGTAGCACATTTTTCTCATGTTTGGGTACTTTCCCTCTGCAAGTAAGTTCCAGAACTGTTCCTGCGCACTGGACTTCAGCTGAATGTCGGCTTGTGGTGTCAAAATCTCCCATTCCGTATGAAAGTGATACATTTTTGTCTTCTTACTTGGTCCAGCTTTCCCACTCATTACGTTTAAGAGAAACAAACCAAGGTCTAAAAATTGGCGATAACTTAGCTTGTCAGTTTTGCTGTACTTAGAGCAGTTGTTTGCACATGCGTTTGACACCTAAGATTGCATCTCATTGGCTGCGCTGTATATAATTAAGTGATGGGACTGATGATAGGCTTATGCCTATTGTTTTAATGCCATGCAATCTACCCACACTACATTTGCGATCGACGTACTGAGCACCCCTGATCTATACCGTTGATAGGGTGGAAATACAATCTTTTCAAAACCCCAGTGGATGACATGTTAGTAGTTTGAAATTGGTCATGGTGAGAATGCTTACACCGCGGAATTGGCAAGTATGAAAAATCAGAGCATTTTGGTTGGTTGGTTTAGAGAGCTGGCTTTTAAACACTAGCCAGCGCCCCACTGGTTGGGAACGTGGAGGCAGTGAGCATCAACTCCCCCAAGGAATCTCAGCCGGCGGTGTGTGGAAGGTGTGAGAATGACAGCTGAGGGAACATACGGGAAGGAGTGAGCGCGGCTTGTTTTCCCCAGCTCTTGATTTTGAAAATTTTCTAAGCTACAAAAAGTTTCAAGAATAATATAATGAGCACATGTATACCCTTCACCTATAGATTCATTTTGCCACACTTGCAAGAGTTCTCTTTCTGTGTATATGTGAGGGCAAGTCCAAAAGTGTCACTACACCAATTGATGTAGGGAATGTTCTAAGAGCAGTAAGAGCCCCAAGAGAATGATTTCATAAATAATAAAAAAGTATTGCTACAAATGCATAGAAATCTTTATTCAACAAAAACCGCAAACTGAAGTTATTGTTTCTTGACAGGACCTCTCTCTCCATCCACGTCCGTACACTTCTGAATACGGTGTTTCCATCTCCCTAACCAGTCCCCAAAGAATTCTGCACTCTTCAAATGAGACCATGTCAAAAGGGCAGTTTGAGCATCCTCCGGCGACTCAAATTTCTCTTGTCAATGTTCTTCTGAGTTTGGGGAACAAAATGAAATCTGAAGGGGCAAGATTAGGGTTATAGGGTAGACAGGGTAAGGTTTTTGAGAAATCCTTGTCAGAAGGCTTTGGCTACCCTCAAAGAATGAACTGATGCCTTGTGGTGATGAAAAAATAATAACATCCTCAGCTTAACTTTCCTTTGAGAGAATCTATCAAGATGACCCCTCTGGAATTCCCAGAAAAGCCACTACAACTTTCTGAGCTGACTTCTCCGGCTTGAATGTAACCAGCCCAGCAGGTCTCCTCCAAGACACTGTTTTGACTGGCAGGCTCCTGACCAGGACAAAGACAGGCGTGCTATTGAGAGTACGTGTCTGCAGCCATCCGCCAAGCTCAGAGACATGTTGAAACATGTTTATGTTTGGAACAAACCTGTGCCAGTGTGAATTGGAACCCTAGTAGCAATAGTTTCTTACTTACCCTCACACATGAGGGGACTTTAAAAAGTTCATGGAAAAAGATGGAATTGAAAAATAATGGATTTTCCACAAACCCTTTGAAGCCCATATATGTATTTGCTAAACCATTTGTCATATGGACATCAAGACACATCATCCTTGAATTCTTAAGAATGCGTCTCCCGAGGGCCTTTACCACAAGGCCATTATCACTACCAAGACCTTCAAGAACACTAATTGAATAATTAAAAGCTCAATGAAACAATACGTATTTTTTTAACTAGCATCCAATCAAATTTCACTCGTTGCCTTTGGTTTTCATGATTCCTTTAGAAAAGTCTCGCTTTTCCTTTCTTGGTCTTTCACTGC